ATTAAGGTTTTGCAGTAAAAGCAAAAATTAGTATAGACCATACGTACACGAGTTACCATACATTATAAATAAGCACTTGTTATGAGAAACATGGTAACAGGTACAATACTCCCTGATAGCATGTCTGCATGGCATATTTGACCTTATATGGAAGCTGTGAGCACACGGCATTGGTGATCACCGTTTTTTCCTCTGTAAAGACAAATGACAAATAAGGTACGATAATGAACGTTCGATTAGTAGTTGAGTTTTGTATGATCATGACTTTTGATCCTGGTATATACCACCATCAGAAGGCTCGACTTTCATTCGTAAAAGATACAGAGACGTGAGTTAGACATCCTATAGATGGAGAGGTAGCAATGCAGGTATAAATGCATTGGTATGTGGTCATTTTAGTCATTTTACTCATATTAGTTTGAATACGTATTGAATACGTAAATTTGTTTCTATGCAAGAAATCCTGTATTACTCACCTTCACAAGTGATTGTAGCAAAACGTAGTCATTGAAATATGGTAAATATCTTTCCATTTTTGGCTGTGTCTTTCAGAATGCAGGAACTAACATGATACCTCGGAAAATCCCCGTATGTATATGTGTATTTGTCTCTGTATGTCGATTTTATTGTATATTCGATTAAGGGGTGTGAATCTCAACGCTTTGCATGTAATTACTAAGGAACTAAATAGCCAGGGTCAAGACCTCATCCCTCAAAACGAATAGTGATTCTGTCATCACATTTTTCAACATTGCAAATATTTCTACATTTGCAGTATTCAAACAATTAAGCATATCAGTTAATTGTTTATAAATTGCTTACCGGTGATCACAGGATGTGTCAGGTTCATCTGTCCGGGACTACTCTAAATGCAGGTGTTCCAGTGCATTTTGCACGACTGATATAGACAATGTCTTTGCACATGTATCGTTCAAGGTTTTTGTCAGAGCATTGATATATTAGCGGCATAAACCCATATATCACTAGGTCCCGATTAGTCCAAATTCTTCTGACGTTTTATCAACTTTTTTATATCGGTCTGTCGCCTGGGTCGCTCTTCAAACTGATATTTTAGAAGCATATCTTCACTTTCACACATATGTCGTACATAGATTACATATATACGACGATTCTATACGATAGTGATCAATGATATACATTAGTGCTGGACACTGAACAGTGTGTTAAGGTTGGCTCATTGTCACGGATGACAATCAGTGTGTGACGTAACTTAAAGACGAAGAAAAACTCCATATCTGCGATATTTTGATAAGGATCAACGGCCCTCTATATTTTGGCTTTACAAATATCAGCACCAGATATCACCAGATCAGTTATGCAAATGTATATCCTTATCACTTTAAATGTGCAAAAGTAACACCAATTTATAAACATGGTTCAAAGAATGACCATGGAAAGTATAGACTAATTACAATATTACCAACATTGTCAAAAATATTTGAACGACATGTAACTGTACACCTATCTAAATAATACTGATCTCCTAAACCAGTGTATCTTGATTTTAAAGAGACTTAGTTGATCATGAAGTTATATCAAACAAACTGAAAATGTATAACTTTGATGAAAGCTCCATCAGTTGGTTCATCTCGTATCTAAGGCAAAACCTCAACGAGTTTGCATAGAAAGTGCCAAATCAATCATAGCATAGGTTAAACAAGTGTCCCACAAGGGCCATTACTTTTTATAATTTTCATAAATGATCTCCCTTTTAATATTCAATCATCGCAAGTTTACCTTTTTGCTGATGACAACACACTTCATGTTTCTTGAACTAAATTATAAGTTATACAGTCAAAACTTGCTGAAGTCCTATATAATGTAGAAAAATGGTGTGAACAAAACAACATGCTGCTAAATAAAAACAAAACTCAAGTCATGTTAGTTTCTCCTATACAGAAATCAGCAAAAATGAAACAGGAAAACACTTGTTTAAACTTCAAAATAAATAATATCCCCATTGAAAATGTCTCAAGCCACACATTCTGAGGTATTTATGTTGGCAAATGTCTACAGCAGGTTGACAAAGTTTGTTTATTGTTGGGAGCCAAGTTAGCATTGCTTATTGAAATAAGGAAGTATTTGCCTCAGAATACCAGAATACTGTACTATAATGTTTTTATTTTACAACTACCTGATTACTGTATACCTATATGAGGATATTAATCCAAACAAAACTTAGATAGAGTGCTAAAGTTACAAAAAAAGAACAGCACGTATTATCCTCAATGAGCCATTAGATGCACCATCTAAACCACTCTTTTTAAAACTACAGTGGCTAGAAATTAATAAAAGGGTGAATTATCACAAAGCTGTACTGATGTATAAATCAATTAATGGAATAACACCTAAATACCTCAAGAATTTATTTGTCCAGCCTCGATCTAATTATACTTTACGTTCTACAACAGATAGATAACTGATCCAACCCAAACCTAAGATAGAACTATATAAGAAAAACTTTCAAATATCTGGTACATGTATTCATGTATGGAATGGATTGCCCTTACAAATTAAAAATTCTGACAGTCTACAGTCTTTCAAGACAAAATGTTTTAAGCACTTTCTTCACCTCTGATTTCTAGTTTGATCCATATATTATGACCATATGCTGTATCCTCCATGTTATCAAGTTCCTGTACTAGAAAGATTACCATCTTTTCAATGTTGTCTGTAAATTACTATATATATGCTTCTTGATTTCATATTTAAGTATTGATAATATAATTGAATTGTGTCAATGTACAAATTAAAAAGCCACACAGTCTGCAATCCTTCAAGCACTTTCTTCACCTCTGATTTCTAGTTTGATCAATACATGTATATACAGTACAATGGCCATATGTACAATATGATAGTATCTGTAATTATACTAGAATAGCTTAAATCTGTGCAATGCTGTCTGTTAATTACTATGAATATGCTTCTTCATTTTATATTTTAAGTATTGATAACATAATTGCATTGTGTCCATGTACAATAAATTTACTATACATTTTACAGCAACATATTTGGCTGAAATTATACTTGAATTGTATTGCAAGTCTTTGCAATGCTGACTTCTAATTGTATCTGAGTTTATATTCATATATAATGCTATTACTCTGTATACATTATTGCCGTAGATTGAGGAGAATAGTTTTGTCACTAATTGAGCTACCCTCTATAAATAAAGTAGTATTATTATTATAATTCTGGTAGGGGTTTACCAGACTGGTAACACTAAGGACCTCTAGGAACTTTAACTTTAAAAACTTATCTTGTCAAACATATGAATATATAATCCAAGCCACCGCGGTAATCATCTTGATTTATAGTATGTTAGTCTCTAGCGTGATTACTTGCCATCATGCTGGATAAGATTCATACGACTCAATGGAACATCCTGCGTAAAGCACAAGGCATATTGATCAAAGACACAACAACAAATTGATTTTGAAAAATTTAATAGGACACATGGCACAAAACATGAATAAAATCATATTCAAAAACAAATTTATACACAATACATTGATTGGACAATTTGATTAGTTCTCCGAGGCACATTAACTGTATTAGCATCAGTGATACATGCCACACTTTCGAAAGATATTTGGAAGACACGAACTTTCGATAGAACTTATAGCATTCACAATGGAGAGTTTATTGAAGTCCTATGCAAATTCTGAGCTTTTTCTCAAGTAGTTACGCATTAAGTGGAACATGTACACTGTCACGTTAAACTCAGGACAGTAAGGAGGCTGGAATATTACAGACCTCTGGTCCAATATGTTACACAGGAGCTGCTCTCCTTCCCTGTGATGGTGGAAGCCACAATTGTCCATATCAACACAGTCGCCACGAGCAAGGAGTGGATTGCCCATACCATTTGATTCTTGCATCAAATCATCTGAAGGGCCTGGAAGAATGTCAAAATAATCAACACCAACATGACCACATGATAAGTTCACCGTATATGTAGCATTACGTGCATACCTTTTGAAACTCGATTGCCTTTTCATCTCTGAATGCATGGCCATATCAGCCACCATAGAGAAAAGACGCCATTATCAACGGTATGGTGCCCGCCAGAGTAAAACGCTTTTTTTCTAATAAAGATCTGAATGTGTCCTTTCATCTGTCTTTTTTATTCTGATCACATGCAGAACAATCTGAAAAAGATATTTAAATCAATATGGTTATGATTTCTAATATTGTTCAACGATGTGATCAGAATATGCCCGGTTCATTGTACAGCAACCCGATTAACATCACCTGTTACATGGCTCCGTTAACATCGTAGGCGGAGCCATGCAACAGGTGCTTTAAAACAGAGGACAATTAAGAGCATAATAGGGTCTGTTTCTTTTTTGAAAGAAAAGCAGATGTTGCACTGTGTATTAAAAAGCTATGTTATAAATCAGAATTTAAATTACTACAGGATTTTCGGGGTTGGCATAGAGAAATATTTTCACTCCTTTCACCCATGTTCTTTTTAATTTAAGTCCCTTTACAGTCATTAACTGTATCTTTATTGGTATACATAGTGTTAAGATTGATGCACATAAAGGGGGAACATTATCAAACTGGTTGTTAGTTCTACACAATAAGTTCATTGTAGAGTTTATTGTGCGATGTCTCCGATCAAAAACCAGTAATATTCCTAGCAGCTTCTTGTTGTCGAGATTCAAGTATTTCAATAGATTGTAAGGTGCAATTATCTCATACTATGTCTGCATACTCCAAAATTGGTCTTAAAAATGCAATATATATTTTGATTAGTGATTTACGATCTACCTTAGATTAAATATAACGAAGAATTATTACTCTTTTGTGTGCCTTTTTATGTCGATTCCATGATGCGTCGTCTGTAAAACGTAGTCCTAAATGTTTATGTGTGTCAGGGATGCATATATGTTTATATTTTTACCTATTGGACTACTGTGTGTAATTATGCCACGTGGTGTGTATTTGATTACATGTAACAAATGTGTGGGAGATTGAGCGTTCATGCGAGAACGCGGGTGAATTTGTTGTTGTCCACTTGTCGGGTAGTTTTGTACCCAATTCCACCGGGATGGCATTCATGTAGCAAGGCCAGACAGCAGACTGGGGTAAGTGTTCTTTCTATATTCAGTAATTTAGTGTGACCCTATCACCGGTCAAGCCATCTGTCTATCAATGTGGTCCATTCATGAGTGGCTTTTTGTGTTATTGAAGGCAAGTGTTTATATGCACGTGTAAAAGGGAATTGTGTGCTTCCACCGGGGATCAAACCCTAGATCTCCAGGTTCCTAGTCGGACGCTCTACCACTAAGCAAAAAGGAAATTGCCCCTAGCTCGAAGCTAGATGGCGACCGTAACCATGTGTACACTTAAAGTCTGCCATACTATTCCCCTCTTTGTAAATGTGTTCGCCCTCGAACACCATAACCCAGGTTCTAACTCTCTGTCACCACAGGGAAGGCCACGGAGAATCATAGACACCTCGGCACTTTTATTTTCGGTACTTGGTTACCTCGGCACTTTTATTTTCGGTACTTGGTTACCTCGGCACTTATATTTTCGGTACTTGGTTACCTCGGCACTTATATTTTCGGCACTTTTTGAGGACAAGTCGGTACTTATTTTTCAGAATCTGGTTTGATGTTTAAGTTGCAATTGAATCTGAAATCCGTGAATCTATTGTTGGTATTTGGTGTGTCATCGTATCCACAATTCGTGGTGATATGTATTCAAAACTCTTAATATGAAATAGGCACTGCCTTTAAGCGAGCGCACATAGTTCAGTAACCTTTGTGCCTGCGGCGCCCCAGCTAAGAACTTGAAGGTTTCGTGAAAATGAAATGAATAGTAGTTAAAAAAATTGTATTTCAATTAAGAAAACCTGTCAGACATTCCATGTAGGGCTTTTTGTTGTTGCTAATTTACTATTATTTTAACCCCCTGTCAATAAATCGCCTGATCCATTTAGGGCAAAATTTCCTCAAGACCAAATGAAAGAAATAGCATCTACTGTGCATAGAAAATATTATTAACAAGGCAAAGTATTGCAAGGCAATCCATAGACCCCATGGCCACCGGTAAGAATATCTATACACAAACAGTACACTTATGTCAGGAAGCATATAGGTCACAGTGAGGTCATCGTGACCTACTTCACTACACCATCCCAAGATGTCCTTGTTCACCAAATCTGGTCACTCCAGGTGAAGTAGCATAGAAGATATGCCCGGTACAAATATTTTCAAAAGTAAAGGTCAAAGGTCAAGTCATACGTCACAGTTAGGTCAAAGTGACCTTTTTTGCACTCTTCACTCTGCCATCTAAAGATGTCCTTGTACACCAAATCTGGTTACTCCAGGTGAAATAGTATAGAAGATATTACCCTGACAAACTTCTTTCGAGAACCCTTCGGGGACTGAAAAAATAATAAAACAATGTACTTTTTTTCAGTTCATGAACATCTACATGTTTGCCTAAGTTGCCAAGCCCAATGTCCCAGGCTAGTAAAAAATGCCAATGTTTACTTTGAAAAATAAGTTGGGCTTGTATTTGCTTTTTTCGAAACAATCTTCAAACTGTAGTTCACTAATTACTATGTTGTATATCTCGGCCATGTATGACCCATTGAATGGGCTAGCATGATTGTATTCCTGGGTGGTAACAGACCTAGGGAAAACTTTGGTAGTTGTCTATGGATTGCCAGTAAGCGTTTTTCATTATAGGACACTAACCATTTCAATGTTTCGACGTACCATGCTGGAGTAACAGGACCATAGGAGCAATCACAGTTAGTACGAGCGTGTTAATCTTTTCATAACCTGCAAAGAGCATGGTAATTTCTAAGTACACACAGACAAACAATAAAGAACTGATGATGTTACAACATATGGTTGCTTAACATTTAGTAGCTTATATGGTTAGAAAATTATTTGTCTCAGACACCAAAAGGTATTTTAAAACAGTTCATATACTTCTGTAGGTCTAACTGAGGCAGGGGTTCCGCAATGCTCTATTCTTGGCCCACTTTTATTCCTTATATTTATTAATGACATGGCAGATATTTTTGAATCAACGTCTCGTCTCTTTGCAGACAATACATCATTTTTAAAGTCACCTTCATCTTGTCTAGAAATTCAAGAAACTTTAAATAGAGCCCTTGAGATCTTAAATACTTGGTCAAACCCCAGGTTGGTTGATTTTGATCCTAAAAAAAATCAAGGCCCGTATTCATGAAACCATTCTCATGCTCAAGCATGGATTCTGTGCTCACGATGCTAAAGAATTTGACTGTCATTTTCGCGACGAGATTGAAAACAGAATGAAAATGTTAAAATCTAGTATTCATTCTGATGAAGACTTGTTTTTATAGGATATTTTTACTTCTGGTGAAATCAATCTAATTTGCAAAAACCTGAAGTCAAATAAAGCAGGCGGACATGAAGGTCTGGTATATGAACATATTAAATATGCAGGAAACTCTGTAATTTACCATATACAGAATTTATTCAATCTTGTTGTTAAACAAGAATATATTCCTAGAAACTGGAAACAGGGAATTATAGTAACTCTATATAAAGGTCAAGGAAAGCCGAAAGATGATCCTAACAGTTATAGGGGAATAACCCTCTTGCCAGTATTTTTTAAATGTTTGAAATGGCTATTACAAAGAGAATTAAAAATATAATAGAGTCTGATATATTCCCAAACAAGCAACAGTCAGCATGTCAGAAGAATCTATGTAGTCTTTGTACTGCGTTTAATTTGCAGGAATGTGTATATTATAACATGGAAAATGGTTCAGATGTATATGTGTCGTTTTTAGATAGCGCTAAGGCGTTTGATACCGTTTGGCACGACGGTCTACTAGTAAAATTGTATGATATTGGCCTTACTGGTAAAGTGTGGAATATTTTGAATTATATGTACACGTATAAACACAGTTCTATAAGCTTTAATGGTTTAACCTCCGCACTAGTAAAGATGGAGCGAGGTATCTTTCTCTCTCAGCCAAAATGTACTTAGTTTTTATTAATGACTTGTCGAATAAAGTTGAAAACTGCGGTAGGGGCGCAATGATAATCGTTAAACTGTAAATGTTCCAACTCAAGCAGACGATATATGTTTGGTTAGTACAAATATTACAAGCCTAAATAAAATGTTAACTATTTGTGAATCATACAGTCGGAAGTGGTGATTTTTGTATTCTGCGTCAAAAAGTAATGTTGTCGTATTTAGTAATAAAAGAATCATAAACATTAACTGTACTGTACGTCTTTATGATAATATATTGCCTGTCGTTTCAGAAATTACTCATGTAGGTATCTTATTGAATGCTAAGCACAATTCCATTGAAAGAACGAAACAAGCGTGTTTAAAATTAAAAAGTTGTACTATGGCCCTTTTACGTTCTGGGGCACATCAATGCGCACTAAACCCTTTAACTGTTGCTAAAATTGTAAAAATTTAAAGTCTTTCCGTCTGCGCTTTACGGTTGTGAACTCTGGGTACTTTCAAATACTGAGTTATTGATGTTAGAGAGAGCCCAACATTTTATTGTTAAGTCGATCCAAGGTTTCGGAAAAAGAACAAGAACTGATATGTGTACTTCTTTAATCGGATGGTTTTCTATAGAGGCGTATATCGATATCAAAAAGCTTTTGTTTTTAGGCAGGATCAGAAGAATGAAAAGAAGTAACTTAATCCGCAGAGTATTCGTTTTGAGGTATTTTATGCATACAGTTAATAATTATAGTCAAAAAGGTTATACACCAGACATTGTCGGATTACTAAAGAAGTATAATCTTTATGAATACATTATACAATTTCTAGATGATGGTGTTTTTCCAAATAAAATGTATTGGAAGTCATTGATTTATAAATCCGTAACAAACTATGAAACCAATACATGGATGCAAAGAATGTCTAATGACACAGATTTTACACGGTTTTTTATTGCTACATGACTGTCTAAAACCTCTTAATTTATGGAAATTAGCCTAATAATCGTTACGCTTTACGTAAAATAATAACTACAGGATTCCTCCTTTCAGACTGTCTCTTACTAACTCTTCTTTTCTACCTTCTACCCCTTATTGTTGGAATAACTTGGAAAATTCGGTTCGATCCCTGCCCTCTATAAACTCATTCAAATCCTGTTTAACATCAAATATTCAGTTAAAATCGGAAAGGTTACTATACCATTTGTAACAGGAAAGAGAATAGTGTGCTTCCGCTGGGGATCGAACCCTCGATCTCCAGGTTCCTAGTCGGACGCTCTAGCACTGAGCTAAAAGGAAATTCACCCTAGGTCGAAGTTAGATATTGACCGTAATCCATATGTACAATTGAAATATGCCACACACGAACATTATAGATCATAGTAAATAGTTATGAATATTCATTGTATAACTATTGTCAGAGAATGTATAAGCAATTTCATTGTTATTATCATGTCGATTACACTTCGTTACCGTGGATTTGGTCGGGTAGAATTTGTACGGAAGCCCCGAGTGGTCATTGTGTTTGTATGTACTAGTGTGGATGAGCGTAGGTGAAAAATCTACGGAAGCGTAAACGGCGTATTGGTAACCTTGTCGTTGGAGGTCAGCTGTGCTTTGGTACAAGGCATTTGTACTACCGTATTTTGGTGAATGGTACGCTGGTAGTCAACTACATAATGTACGTATACTTGAAAACTGGATGATCGGGATTGTAGTCCCAGACGTGAAGAGACTGTAGATGTTTATTTCATGCGGTTTTTGTTGGTTGAATTTTATTTTAAGTAAAGTTAACTTCGGTTGTGCTGAAAGACAGCTGTTTAGATTCGATGATGTTTATTTGGTGTCCAAGCTCTGAGTCAAGACTTTTTTTTATACAATACAAAAGTCTGTAATTGAACAACAATACATTTCAATAATAAAACAAAGTATAATTAATATTGGTATAAACTAATAAAGATACAATTGGCGTCCTACCATTACAGAATTATTAATATAGGTATAAACTAATAAAGATACAATTGGCGTCCTACCATTACAGAATTACAATCACATAGAACTGAACTACAATATCAATGTTTACTAATGGAAAATGTAATGTTTATATTAAC